GTTGGTGGATCTAGCCGAAGTTTTATAAAATGTGGCATCTAAATTGGTCATATACAACATTTCGGCCGAATTAATTGAAGTCTTTCAATTGGTGCCATATTTCCCACAATGCCTTATTTTAGGGGGGTGGAGTCAATGGAACAATTGTTCTATATCGAATTCTAACATAGGCCCCAGAATTAAAGATTTCTGTATATATAATATATACCCAGAAAATGGAATCATCAAATTGGGAATAAAATTCAAAAATCCTTTTTTTCTCATTAATTTTACAAATGTCCTCTTTTGACCCACAAAACCTGATTTTAGACAGATGGTGTAAATGGAGAAATGCTTCTACGTCAAAATTCAACATGAGTCCCCGAAGACAAGGAGCTTGTGGAGTTAACCTAAGTTGTATAAAATGTGGCATCTAAATTGGTCATATACATCATTTCGGCCGAATTATGCAGTGTTTTTCAATTGGTGCCATATTTCCCACAATGCCTCACTTTAGGGGGATGAAGTTAATGAAACAATTATTTTACATCGAATTCTAATATAGGTCCTCGAACCATAGATTTCTATACAAATAATATTTATTCAGAAAATATAGCTATTTATTTGGGTATAAAAAAAAACAAGAATGCAATATTTTTGATTAATTTTATAAACGACCCCTTTTCATCCACAAAATTGAATTCTAGGCAGATGGTGTCAATGGAAAAATGATTCCAAATCAAATAACACTTCATGTCTCCAAAGACAAGGATTCGGTAGCTGTAGCAGAAGTTCTTTGAATTTAAGATTCAATTTTGCTTTGAAGCCAAGTTGGACGAATTTGGAATACCTTTTTCCAAATTGGTGCCATATTATCCACAATGCTTCGTTTTGGGCGGATGACTTTAGTGGAACAAATCTTCTACATCAATTTTTGATATGGGTCCCGGAACAAAAGAATTTTGTAAATAATACTGGTACTGGAAAAAATGGAGTAGCAATTTTGGTCTAAAATAAAATAAACATTTTTTTAATAATTTTGTGAATTTCCTGAATTTCACCCACAAAACTTCATTTTTGCTGGATGGTGTCAATGGAGAAATGATTCCTCACAAAAATCCACTTCATTCTTCTCAAGAAAAGATATTCGTAAATATCACAGAAATTCCTTGAATTGTAGGTTTAATTTTTGGTATGAAACCATTTTGTCAAATTGAACACCTTATCTCAAATTGAACCCATATTTCCGACAATTCCTTGTTTTAGGTGGTTGGTGTCAATGGAACAAATGATCTACATCAAATTTTATTATGAGTCCCCGAACAAAAGAAATCTCTAAATAGTACCGGTACCAGAAAAAATCAAATAGCAACTTTGGCCTTAAATAAAAAAAAAAACATTTTTTTCACAATTTTGTGAATTTCCCGAATTTGACCACCAAGACTACATTTTTGCTGGATGGTGTCAATGGAGAAATGATTCCTCACAAAATTCCACTTCACTCTCTTCAAGAAAAGACATTCGTAGATATCACAGAAATTGCTTGAATTTAAGTTTTAATTTTTGTATGAAACCATTTTGGTCAAATTGAACACCTTATCTCAAATTGCACCCATATTTCCCACAATACTTTGTTTTGGGTGGTTGGTGCCAATAGAAGAAATGATCTACATCAAATTTTATTATGAGTCCCCGAACAAAAGAAATCTGTAAATAGTAGTGGTACTGGAAAAAATTGAGTAGAAATTTGGACCTAAAATAAAATAACCATTTTTTGATAATTTTGTGAATTTCCTGAATTTCACCCACAAAACTTCATTTTTGTTGGAGGATGTCAATGGAGAAAAGATTCTCAACAAAATTCCATTTCATTCTTCTGAAGAAAAGAAATCGGTAAATATCGCAGAAGTTGCTGGAATTTGAGGTTTAATTATGGTATAAATCCATTTTTGTAAAATTGTACAGCTTTCCCCAATTGGGGCAATTTTCCGAAAATACTTTGTTTTAGGTGGCTGGAGTCAATGGAACAAATGTTCTACATCAAATTTAAATATGAGTTCCCGAACAAAAAAATTCTGTAAATATAATATTTATCCACAAAATTTAGGCATCCATATGGGCTTATAGAGACGAATTAAACATTTTTTCTTTCTCAAATTGTCCCGCCAAATTGAATCTTAATTCGGGTGGGTGGTGTCAAGGAAAAAAATATTCCTAATACAATTTCGTTATAGGTCACCAAAGATGAGAAAGTGTGAATTCCTAGAATTTGAGATCTAAAATTGGTATGAAATGATTCGGCAATTGGACAAAAAAATCTATTACACTTCACCTTGGAGAAGAAAAGTCTCCTTTTTAAGGATATTCTTTAGAAGAATATCCTGGAAGACTTTTAAAACAGGTCCTCAAGTTTTTTCTTGGTAGCAGTAAAAAGCGAAAAACACACACTAACGGTCATCTTTATTTTCTATAAAGAGATTTTAAACACAATCGCCTGAAAGTATGCTTTACATTTGAGGTGTAATTATTCTGTTATTAACATGACATAAAAGAGTTGCCATCGTTTTTAACTTGCTCAATACCTTTTGAGTCTGCAAAACAGTTTCAAAAATTCAAAAAAAAAAAAAAACGAAATAAATATTTTGTGATTGGAAAAATATCCATTCCAAACCTTTTTTGGAACAACACAATGTGTTGGGGGTATTATAATTTGATTGGGCCAAAAAGTTTGTAACCCCTCAAAATATTGGTCCTAGACCCACGATGTTACATATGGATCTTCCTATCTCACCAAGCTGAATCGAGCTGATTTAGAATCACGCTACAGGGAGCAATTATGAGCCGATCCTAACCAAATATAGCATTTACAAGTGGAATGAGGGTCAGAAAAGAAGTCCATTAAAAAATAAGAAACTTTTCGAGTTGCGGAACAGTTATTGGTGTTGTATAACAGTTATGCCAAACTGTCATACGATTCCAAAAAAGCATTATAAATGTTTTCTTTTACTATATATAGGTATAAAATGTGAATTGGGTCGAAATTTCACAGTATAACAGTTTCCATAAACTTTTATACTATTAAACAAATTAATAAAAAACCAAAAAGACATTATACTAGCTAAAAATCTTTCTTTAAAAGAGTTTTTTTTATTGAAACGGGATGTAGAACGGATATTTGTGTTGTATAACAGTTATGCTAAACTGCTATACACGTCTAAAAACACATTAGAAATGTTTACTATTCCTTTATATAGGTATATAATGTGAATTGGAGTGAAATTTCACAGTATAACAGTTTTACAAAACTGTTATACTACAATAAAAAAAACTAAAAAAATATATAATCTTCTAACTTGCATACTATTCAATGGCAGAAAATCCTTAGATATGTATATGACTTCATTTTGGGCCTCCATTGGTAGAAACTTTTCAAGAATGTGCCACTTTTGTTAGTATAACAGTTATTTCAGACAGTTATACAGCTAAAATTCATTATATAAAAGTGTTTCTTGAATTGAAACGAGTTGTACAACAGTTATTGGTGCCGTATAACAGTTATGCCAAACTGTTATACTCGTCCAAAAACACATAATAAATGTTTATTTTTCATTTGTATGGGAATACAATGTGATTTGAAGTGAAATTTCATAATATAACAGTTTTCATAAACTGTTATACAACTAAAAAAACGTCAAAAATTTATATTATCTTCCAGAAAATTCTTAAAAATATATGTCGCCTCAGTTTAGGTCTCTATTGGTAGCAAGTGGCTAAGAATGTTCTAATTTTGTGGGTATAACAGTTATTTCAGACCGTTATACAGTTTCTTTCATTCTTCAAAAGTGTTTTTTGAATTAAAATGGGTTGTACAACAGTTTTTGCTGCTGTATAACAGTTATGTCAAACTGTTATACTCTTCCCAAAAGGCATTATAAATGTTTACTTATCATTTGTATGGGTATACAATGTGATTTGGAGTGAAATTTCATAATATAACAGTTTTCATAAACTGTTATACAACAACAAAAAACTAAAACATTCATAATCTTCTAACATGCATACTATTCAGTTTTTGAAATGTAAACAGTTATTGGAGCTGTATAAAAGTTATGTCAAACTGTTATACTCGTCTAAAAACCCATTATATATACTCAATTGTCCTTTATATAGGTTTACACTAAAATTTGGTGTACAATTTTACAGTATAACAGTTTTTATAAACTGTTATACAACTGTAAAAAAAACAAATAAAAAATTATATATTCTGAATACATATTCCTCGTTTTTTGTAAAAAACAAAACTATTTAAAAAAGCTAGTTTTTGAATAATTCTTAGAATTTCAAATACTCTGAAAATCCACGTTTGAATATTCTATTTTTGGAAACGAAAAAAAAAAATTAAAAACAAAGTCTAAAAAATGAATTATAAAAAAAATATCTTAAAAAATAAAATTCAAATAACTCACGTTCTCTCGTTATTTTTTTTTTTTTTTTAATTTTTAATTTTTAAAAAAATCCAATTTTTATTTTTTCCCCTAAATATTTTTGTGTCTTTTTGTTTGCCTATTTAAATACTGTGTTCCATTTCCATTGCTTCCCTTTTGACAGCTACATTTTACCCAAATATTGCTGTTATTCTCAGCAAAACATTGACAACAAAAACCCAGCTGATTAGTTGTTTATTGTGTGTGAGTGGGAGAGAGAGTTTAAGAGAGAGAGAGAGAGAGAGAGCCGTCAAGTAGCATGTGATGGAAAAACAGGTGATACATAACATGTCTTGTGGGGGTTTTGTTTTCAAATAACTTTTCTGTCGCTCTTTTTCACTCTCTCTCTCTCCCTTTCTTTGGCATAGAAACTCTCTTGGTTTCTCTGTTGTGTTGCCTGTCAAAAGGATGTCTGCTGTTGTAACAAGTTTGTCATGTGTTGTGTGTGAAACCGAACCAGGAAATAAAATTAGATAAAAAAACAAATTAAAATTAAAAGAAAAAACCACAAAATTTACAACATTTTGTGGTGGTGGTGTCACAGCAGGAGGTTCTGTTTTTGTTGTTGTGGTTCTACCCATTTCTGGGTAACCAAATGAAAGTGCAATCGTGTGTTTTTTTTTATCATTTAAACATTGTTGCTGTATTGGATATGCTGGCTGGCTAGCTGGCAGGCCCTCTTTTCCTTTGTTTTTATTTGTTGTTGTGTGTGGTTTCGCTGCGAGAGAGAGCGCCCTCAGTTCTTATAGCACCAAACTGCTGCCCAAACAAATCCCGCAGTCAGTCATCATCGGTCGTCGTGTGAGCCGCGAGTCAAGTTGCCTTCTTCGTGTCGTTGTTTTCGGTGCGCTAGCTAGTTTTGCAAAACCTAGAATTTCGCCTGACAACCCGTCAGCAAGCCAGGCGACAGTTGAGGGAGTATAAAAAGCAATGAGTTTACCATTCTAAAGTTCAGTTTCGACTTTTGTAGCGCAAAGATATAAACCACGGACTGACGGATAGGGGAACAAAAAAAAAGAATAAAAAAAGTTAATAGAAAAAATAAATAATTTTTTAAGAAAAATAATAATTAAAAAAAATAATGTCTTTTCAAAGCTGAGTTTTGAAAATTACAAAAAAAAATTTAAAAAAAAATTTTATTGATAAAAATAATTCATAAAATATTGTGAGTGCGTGCGTGTGTGCAAAAGAAAAGTGTACAAAAAATCAAGTACCACAAAAGAAAAACAAAAGCAAAATGCTGATAAACAAATTCTAGGCTTATCCAGTCAGAGAGAAATAAAATGTCAACAAAGAAGTAAGGCCTCCCTCCCAAAATGGCATTTTCTTTTATTAAAAATTCGTATTTTGTTGTTAAAAAAAACATTTAAAATTTGTCTTTGAAATGGGAAGTCTGCCACACAAATTTCAATTGAAATTTTATTTCTTCACCATAAAATAATTGTTTTTCAATGCATCTTTAGTTATCAAATAACAGAAATACTGTAAAGAGATTAACACCAAAGAGACTGCAAGTATTTATTTAATATTTTTCTAAATCAATTATTTGTTATTCTTCCAAAAACAATCCCGTTTTTTAAATAAAATCAACCTCCAGAGCATGTCTGTCATAAAAATTCCAATTGGAATTTTTCTTTTTTCTTCCTTTAAACTCATTGTTGTTTTTTCTAATGCAAGCTTACTCTGTGTGTTATGCAAAAACAAAAAAAAAAAAAAAAAATACCGTAAAGAGATTACCCCGGTCAGTGAGTGGGAGAGAGAGACTGAGTTGGGGAGAGACAATGAGATTTCTTCACATCAAACAAAACAAGGACTGTAATGGGAAAATAAAAAAAAAATAATAAGAAAAGGGAAAACTAAACAAAATAACGGCACATCTTCATCTGGCACTAACTACAACCAGGAAGAGTAAGAGTAATTGTGTTTTTTTCTTTTGCTTTTTTTACTCTCTCTCTCTCATGGATGTGTGTATGAGCGCCCCCCCAACTAACTGTGAGACATCTTCAAGTGTATATTTCATTCATTGTTCTTGTTGTTGTTGTTTGTTATTGCCAAAACTCTTGTTGTGCCAGGGTGTGAGTGTAGTTTACTGTTGCTGCTGCCCTTAAAGCATAGCTGGTTTTATTTCCTTTCAGAGTCTCAAACAACTGAGACTCTCTCCTTCTACTTTTTTTTAAGTCATATATGCATAACAACACACATATATATTTATAAACACATGCATTGGCGTCGTCACATGTGTTCCTTTAATTGTGTGTCTCTTCATTGCCGCAAAAAATAAAAACACAACAAATTGGATTTTTTTAATGGATTTCGGACTCCTTTTTTATGGGGAAACCCAGAAAAAACGTTAATAACATTTTCAATTGGTTTTTTATTATTGTCATGTTAGAGAGACTACAGAGAGTATGGTTGAGAGTGTTTTTTTTTGCCAGAATGAGGCTATGCTGATAAGGGAAGTCTGAATGGTTTTGAGAAGTCTTGATAAAATTATTGGAGGAGAAAACAAAACATTTTAAATTTCTCCAAATAATCAGTGAAATTTTAGGAATATTTTTTAAAATTAATTTTGTAAAAAAAATTATTTTATAAAAAATCCTAGACATAAAAATTGCATTTTGAGAGGCAAGTAGTATTTTTAGAAAGAAACAAAAAAAAATGAAAAAACCGTGAAATAACGGTTTTAGACTATAGGGCTCTTTGGACCAAATCCCAATTCAGGACATTTGGAGCCGAGCTAGGTTGACGATAAGTAATGAAGGGAGTATTCGATTTGGTCCGAACTTGGTACATCGCATTATTTTTATCCAACTTAGACAGAATTCACAGATGGGCAATATCGGCCCACTGCTTCGAGTACCTCCCTCACAAAAGGTCAAAATGTTCAAAGAAAAAATTAACCTTATTGAACGAGAAATGATCAAACAATTTTCTGTAAACTTTGGAAATTCTAATATTTTTATTAGTTGTAGGTGAGGTGCAAAAATGGACGACATCGGTTCACTACTTCAAGCATCTTCCCCACAAAGGGTTAATTTTTTTAATAATTATAACTCTTATAAAATATGAAACATGAGTCCGATTGTCTTCAAATTTTGCACATCTCAACATTTCTAGCAAGACAAGATCTGGCATGAAGAACGGATAGAACGGACCACTCCTTTTGGTACCTCCCCCACAAAGGGGTTAAAATTGTGAATAACTATGAAGCTCATAAAATACAAAATGAACATCCGATTCCTTTCAAACTCGGCACATTCCAATATTTCTATGAACACAAGATTAGGTATGAATATGGAATATATCTGACCATCCCTTCTGATACCTCCCCCACAAAGGGGTCAACATTTTGAATAATTAAAATTATAATAAAATGCGGAATAAGATTTCGATTCTTCTCAAACTTCGCATATCTCAATATCTCTATTAACACATGATTTTATGTGAAGATGATATCTATCGATCTATCCCTTCTGGTACTTCCCCCACAAAGGGCTCAAAATTTTGAATAACCAAAGAGCTCATAAAACGCAAAATAAGCTTCCGATTTCTTTCAAATTCCACACATCTTAATATTTCTATTAATACAAGATCTGTTGTGAAAATGGTAGATATCGACCCACCCCTTCTGGTACCTCCCCCACAAAGGGTTTGAAATTTTGAATAATTAAAACGATCATAAAGTACGAAATTAGCATCCGACTCTCTTCAAGTTCCACGCATATCAATATTTCTATCAATACAAGATCTATTGTGAAGATGGGATATATTCGCCCACCCCTTCTGGTACCTCCCCCACAAAGGGGTCAACATTTTGAATAATTGAAACGATCATAAAATGCGAAATAATTATCAGATTCTGTTCAAACTTCGCAGATCTCAATATATCTGTTATCACTAAATTTTGGTGTAAAGATGATGCGTATCGGTCTATCCTTTCTGGTACCTCCCCCACAAAGGGTTTGAAATTTTGAATAATTAAAACGATCATAAAACGCAAAATAAGCACCTGATTTCTTTCAAATTTCATACCTCTTAATATTTCTATTAATACAAGATCTGTTGTGAAAATGGTAGATATCGGTCCACTCCTTCTGGTATCTCCCCCATAAAGGGGTTAAAATTTGGTTAAACAAAAACGCTCATAAAATGCGAAATAAACACCCATTTCATTCCAAACTTCACATATTCCAATATTTTCACTAACGCAATATCTGTTGTGAAAATGGTCGATATCGGTCCACCCCTTCTGGTACCCCTCCCACAAATTGTCACTATTTTCAGTACTTACATCTCTCATAGCTTGCGAAACTAGTCAGCGATTCCTTGCAAACTCGGTATATCTAAATATTTCTCTCAGCCAGAGAGCAGATGTGAAAATGAGATTGACTTAAGTCTTGATTTTTTTCTAATTTTTTTTTAAATATTTTTGGAATTTGTATTTTTTTTTTATTTTTTTTTAGTTCCTGAAAATATTTTATTTGACTCTTGAAGAACATTCCTCAAATTTCCATCTATTTGTAGGATCTACCATAATTTTTTTAAACAACCTACATCAATTTCTCTCCTCTATATCTCTCTTCCTTCCTCCAAAACAATATTTCAGACTCACTCGTGAAAATTTTCAATTTTTTTTCTAATTTCTGAAAATATTTCACTTTAGTCTTGAAAAACAATCCTCCAAAATTAAATTTTTTTGGGGTTTCCCCATCATTTTTGAAACTTACCTGCATCGAGCATCAATTATTCTCCCCTCCCTCATTCCCTTTTCTAAAAAAAATTTCCAAACTCACTCTTTAAAAAATTTTAAATATTTTTTCCGAATTTTTGAAAATATTTCATTTGGCTCTTGAAAAACATTCCACAAAATCCAATTTTTTGAAGTTTTCTATCAATTTTTGAAACAACCTGTATCCAAAACATTATTTCAAACTCCCTCGTGAAAAATTTCATTTTTTTCTAATTTCTGAAAACTTTAATTTTGGCTTTTGAAAAACATTCCTCAAAAATCCAATTATTTTGGCGTTTCTCCATAATTTTTGCAACCAACCAGCATCGAAAATCAATTTCTCTTTTCTATCTCTCTCCCTTTTCCAAAATAATATTTCAAATTCCCACTTAAAAAATTAAATTTTTTTTTTTTTAATTTCTGAAATTTTTTCATTGGGCTCTTGAAAAACATACCTCAAAAATCAATCTTTTATTTGGGTTTTTCCTATCATTTTTGAAACCAACCTGCATTGAGCATAAATTTCTCTTCTCTCTCCCTCCCTCCCTCTTCCAAAATAATATTTCAAATTCCCTCTTTAAAAAATTTTAAATATTTTTTTTAATTTTTTGAAAATATTTCATTTGGCTCTTGAAAAACATTCCTCAAAAATCCAATTTTTTGCCATTTCCCCATAATTTTTGCAACCAACCAGCATTGAGCATTAATTTCTCTTTTCTATCTCTCTCCTTTTCCAAAATTATATTTTAAATTCCCTCTTAAAAAATGTTTTAAATATTACTCTTAATATTTTTTAAATATTTAAATATATTTTTAAATTTCTGAAAATAAACATTCCTCAAAATCCATTTTTTATTTGAGTTTTCCCATCATTTTTGAAACCAACCAGCATTGAGCATCAATTTCTCTTCTCTCTCTCCCTCTTCCAAAATAATATTTCAAACTCCCTCTAACTGTAGTAACGTTTACACACCTCTTCCCCACCTCTCCATCCACTTAACACCCCAAACCAACACCTGCTGTGTTTGCTTGTTTGTTTTTTTATTTTTTTTGGCCGCAGCAACAAAATAACAACAACAAAAACAGTAATTAAACAATATTTTGGTCTGGCTACAAATGTGCCTGTTGTTGTTATTTAGACACCCTTGTTAGACGGCTTGAGCCCGCCAGGCAGACAATCAGTAACCCTCCATATAACTTGGCTTCCTTATCACCATCATCATCATCGTCATTACTGTGGTAACAGTGGGGGCAACACCTTACGACCCGTACACGCACACATTTCGGCTAATAACAAACCTACAACCCCCCAAATGTTACCAAGGAGTGAGAGTAATCACCAAACTCATATATCTGCTTTGTTGTTATTGTTTTTATTTTGTATTTTGTTCCGACAAGTTGTTGTTACTACAGACAATATAACCGTTTAGTTATTTCAAAGGGGAGAGAAAATAAAAACAAAAAAACATTAAACTCTACTTTTTCGGCAGGAATCTTGATGAAAATAAAGAGTAAGAGCATTTGTTGGCTCCCTATATGCATGAAGGAAGAGCAATAATGGGGGGAGAGCGAGAGAGTGAATATGGTGTTGCTTTGGGGGAAATAAGCATAACATGATTACTATCAACACCCTTGCATTGGCAAGCCATCATACTCTTCCCTTGGCTCTCACTCACTCTTTCTCTTTTTCCCTCCCAAATGGGATTTGGGCTTTCTCTTTACGGCAACTTCTCCCAAAAAAACACTCTGTTATGCATAGCAACAAATGTGTGTGTGTGGTGGGAGGGAGTTGAGTTTCGTTGGGTGGCAATGGGAGGTAAGGCATTTAATGTTGCTCGCCTGGGTTGGTGGGGAATTTAGCTGGTGTGTGAGTGTGAATGCGTGTGTTTGTGCACACCCATATGTTTGTAAACAAAAATTCAATGTTTTGTGTTTTTATTTTTTATATAAAAGGCATACTTTTTTGCGAATTTTGCCAATTTTTTTTTTTGCTTTTCACATAGAATTTTAGTGGAGCATAAAAATGCTTTTTGGTGCAGGCAGAAAGGTGTTCTTTTTTATTTATAATTTATTTATTTTTTTATTTCTGTTACTGCAAATGGAAATGGTAGAGTTGAGACTGTCAAAGAGGTAAAATTCATAACAAAAAAAAAAAAAAACCGGAGCACAACAAAACTGCCTTTTTGGCAAATTTAAAAAAAATAGTGAAAATCCAATGGTTTTTTTGTTGCTGCTGCTCAGTCTCATTGTAGCCGTAAAACACAAATCAAAAACCTGAAATAGTCAGCCAAGTTAATATGTTTATTGCATTACAACCATTTATGGCTCATATTTCATGAATAATGAAAACAAAAACTGGGCTAATTATTTTTTTCTTTTTGATATAAAATTTTTTTTTATATAAAAAATTTAATTTAAATAACAAGTGCTTAAATTACATGAAGGGAATTTTGGGATGGGTTGACATGAAAAAATAAACCTTCAAGAGATTACCAGAATTTAATATTGCTTATCATTTACGACATTTGGATAATATTGATAAGAAATTTTTGATGTCTGGGCTAAATTAATTAATAATATTTTTTTATTGAACTTAGATAAGGCTGATAATGCATTTACTTAATTTTTATAGGGCGCCTAAAACACTTATGTGATCCGAATAATGGGGATAATACATTTATGGCATTCGTATAATTTAGATAATAAATTCTATGGTTCGGATAGGGTTTAGAATAAAATTTCTGATGTCGGTAAAGCATTTTCGAGATCTGGATAAAATTGATAACCACTTGGATAATGATTGATTAGAGATTACCAGAATTTAATATTGCCTATCATTTTCGACATTTGGATCAGATATGTTCGATGTCTGGGCTAAATTAATTAATAAATTTTTTTATTGAACTTAGATAAGGCTGATAATGTATTTACTTGATTTTTTATAAGGCACCTAAAAAATTTATGTGATCCGAATAATGGGGATAATACATTTACGGCGTTAGTATAATTTAGATAATAAATTCTATGGTTCGGATACGGTTTAGAATAAAATTTCTGATGTCGGTAAAGCATTTTTGAGATCTGGATAAAATGGATAATACCTGGATAACTTCAATAATACCATTTCAGTATTCGGATAATGCGGATAAACAATTAATTTGGGTCCGAATAATGTGAAAAAAAAAATTATGATTCGGATAAGGCGGGTAATCCATTTTTTTTTCGCTCGGATAATGTATTTTCGAACTTTGGATAAAATGGATAAAACCTGGATAGCTTCAATAATGCCCTTTTCGTTATTCTGATAACGCGAATAAAGTGGATAATAACATTTATGATTAAAATAATGCACTTTTTCCGCTCGGATAATGTATTTTCGACTTTGGATAAAATGGATAATAGCTGGTGTTTTTAGGCTTACCTTTTTTGCCTTGAGCCTTCTTAAATTATAAGAAATATTTTTCTTTTAATTTTTAGTTCTTTTATTTGGATTTTGGGGTAGTGCAATTTTAGATATAAAATAGTTTTAAGTTTTCACTAGTTCATAAGATTTGCTTTATTTAGATAATTATATTTAGTTTGTAATTCAATAGGTTTTAAGTTTTATCTTAATTATAAGTTTTAAGTTAGCAGGTAAGTTTTAGCAATTAGTTTCACAATTATTCTTTTTGTTGTATATTGTATTTGTAGAAAGCTTTTGTTTAACATAGATAATTTTGTAATATTCTGTTTTTTCGTAATTTTGATACCTTTTGTTGTATTTCAATGTTCACTGGTTTTTGTAATATATAAATGTTGTTAGTTTTTTTTCCTTTTATTTTTGCACAGACACTTGTCACTCGGGGGGGAAACTTGCGCTCGCGACGGTAATTACATGAGAACTGATTATTGCCAAATTTGCATCGTCACATCAAACCTGTTTTGGCTGTTGACGATGCTTAGTTATTAGAATTCAGCATTGGAATTTACCGGTGGCTGCATAAATGTATGTGTGTATGTGTATGTATTTACATTATTTACATCATTTTGTTATGATGCCATTTATGCGGCCGCCGGTAAATGCCCAACCAACAGTGTTGGGCAAATTAATAGCAATATTATGAACATTTTCTGGGCCCCGAATGACAAGTGTAAGTATTCATTTCTAATATACCATAAGGATCTTCGGTCTTCAGTTCCTCGGCATGTTCTTGATTGGCCCAGCAAACACGTAGCCCAGTTGTGTGTTGTAGGCCAGGACATCTCCAATTCCAGCTGCTGTACACCCATCTTTCCTTATGGCGGAGTACGTGTCCGCTCCCAGTTCCACATCGATCGGACTATTTCCTCTGGGATCAGGGTCAGCTAAGGCGTAGCTCGTGAAGCATCTAGTGGGGTCTTCAAGTATTGGGTCCGAGTAAATGCGTCTTGGGAGATCTTCGATAATTACGGCATTTACCTTCAGACTCCAAGTACTGTTCGTGCGGCGGGGCGAAACTGTGAAGGTGGTGAATCGCTCCCCTTTGTACTCTCGCGACTGCAGACCCAGGCGACGGAACGCTGCATATGAGATCTTGGACATCGTCGCCGATTGGCTAACTATGGCCCGCAACATGCTGAAACCCTCCATACCCTCGGCCGTTATGCGTACCATAGCCGTCGGTACAAATACTAAGTCCCACGCGAAAGCTGGGGTGGTGACGGCTTCTATATTTAGGGATACCTCTTCCAATTGAGACGCCCCGTGCAATAGGGTATGGTGCCGGTAGTTGCATCTCCGGCAACCAGTTAAAGACGGGCAGTCGGGGGCCAAATGACTTCTCGCCAGGCAATTTCGGCAATACCCCCGACGCTCCACGGTCTCATACCGCTGAAAGGGCGTCTGCCGGCGGAACCTCTCACAGGCACTGAGGGCATGGTCTTCTTGGCATAGTCCACATGAATATTGCCAGTAGCTTGGTCTTTCTTGGCGTTGGCGGGGTCTTGCATCGGATCGACTTCGTTGACGTCTTTCAGGGGATGTGGAACTGGGACGTTGGATTGGCCGTAAGGGTCTGTTGGCGCTTCTTGCTGTAGGACGGGCAGATGAGGCTGGGCTACGGCTGCGATCGTCCAGACGGTAGTCCTGGTTGGGCAAGTAAGCGGCCATATCTGAAAGAAAATGAAGGCGAGTACTAAATTCTTTTTTGGGTGTGAATCCGACTAGTCAGTCGGAAAACAATTTGACAATTTTTGTTATGGGTCTGCTAATGTTGCCACTTGCCGTCCGTATGTCTACAACCCTGGTATTTTGATCACTGCCTGGATACGTTTTTTCGATACGACCTAACTTCCATTCATGCGGAGCCAATCTATCATCTTTTACGACAACTAAATCTCCCTCTTTGATATTCTCTTTTTCATATTTCCACTTAGTTCTTCTGTGAAGTTCGTGAAGATATTCTAATTTCCACCTGTTGCAAAAATATTGAGAAATAACTTTGAGTCTTTTCCAACGATTGACTAAGCTTAGATCTGTATCTGAAATGTCTGGTTCAGCTGGGGTAAGGATAGATGTTCCTATTAAGAAATGGCCAGGAGTCAAAGGGGAAAGGTCATTTGGGTCATCGCTAGCAGGACTTAAGGGTCGCGAATTAAGACAGCCTTCAATTCTTGCTAAAATAGTTGTAAATTCTTCAAAAGTGAAATTCATTTTTGGGATGCTTTTTCGTAAATGAATTTTAAATGATTTAACACCAGCTTCCCACAAGCCGCCCATGTGCGGAGCACCAGGAGGAATAAATTTCCAAGTAAGATTTTGAGTGAAGTTGTTTTGAATAGTGCTATTTTGAATATTCTTCATGAAAGCTAATCGATCTCGCTTTAATAGATCAACCGCTCCTACAAAGTTAGTTCCGTTGTCAGAAAATATACAAGATGGACAACCTCGCCGACTTATGAACCTAGAAAAAGCTGCAAGAAAGGCATATGTCGACAAATCGCTTGTGGGTTCTAAATGTATAGCCTTCGTGGCGAAACAAACAAACAGGCACACATAGCCTTTTGTAATAAAGCAGGCTCTTCCTGAATAACTTTTAATGTTAAAGGGTCCTGCGAAATCTACCCCTGTGTTTGTAAAGGGTCGAGAGAGAAAAGTACGTTCGGGTGGTAGCGAAGCCATTATTTGAGTTTGGGTTTGTTTTTTGTGAATTAAGCAGATTCGACATTTTCGTATGGTTTGTTTGATTAGCGATTTGAGTCCAAATATCCAGAATTCGGACCTTAATACTCGGGTCATTAATTGATTACCACCGTGCAAGGTGATCTTATGAGTGAATTCGACTAACAATTTGCTAAGCTTTGCGCCATGTGGTAGTATTATTGGATGACGTTCGCTATATGTAAGGGCTGGCGATTGTACCAATCTGCCATTTGCTCTAATAATACCCTTTGAGTCTAGAAACGGGTTGAGTGTCAATAGAGGACTTGAAGGAGAAATTTGAGTCTTTTTCATAAGTGAGTTGTATTCTTCGGCATATACGAATTTCTGGGTACGAATTATGCAAGATCGTTTTCCATCTTGGATTTCGGCTGCTGTAAGGTCTTGTGATGACGTGCGAAGATGTTGCCTATTTGCTCCAGTATTTTTCCAGAGTCTTAGAGCATATGCGTATGATCGATAAACTTTAGATAAAGAGGAGAAATTTTTTAAAGGGTCATCTCTTTCCGCGAAAAGAGTCATGACTTTTGCCGTTTTGGCTTCGGCGTTTGTGTCTTGTGGGATATCTTGTGTTGGCCAACGGTCTTCTGGCATTCTGAGCCATTGAGGTCCCTGCCACCAGAGTTCATTGGTCTTTAGCTCGGCGGGTGAACATCCACGGCTCGCAACATCAGCTGGATTATTTTCCGAATCGACATGTCTCCAATTTTCTTGTCCAACATTATCAGAAATTTCCGAGACTCTATTTCCAACAAATGTGCTCCAGTGACAAGGAGGCTTTTTTAACCATGCTAAGACGATGGTAGAATCGGTCCAAAATTGTGTCGAATATTTTGATATTTGTAGGCTATTAACAATGGATTTTGCTAACTTGGAGAGTAATACTGCCCCGCATAACTCGAGTCTGGGTATTGACAGTTTTTTAATTGGAGCGACACGAGTTTTTGCTGCTAGTAAGAATGTATGTGCGGTATGGTCAGTATTTTCCACTCTAATATATAGAGTGGCTCCATACGCGCTTTCCGACGCGTCACAAAATCCGTGAATCTCTACAGAACCATCTAGCGTGTATTGAATCCATCGAGGAACTCTGAGATATTCAATATCTTTGCTATTTTTGACAAAATTGTTCCAGTTCATTTGAGTTATTGGTTTTAATTGATCATCCCAGTCAATTTTGTCTAGCCAGATTTGTTGCATTATTAGCTTAGCTACAACAACCACCGGTGCCAGCCATCCACATGGGTCAAACAATTTGGCTATCGTTGATAAAACTTCTCTTTTTGAGGATATATTTTTATTTTCCATAGAAGGTGGTGTGAAAGAAAAATAATCGCCTGAGATATTCCATCGAATTCCAAGGGTCTTAGTAGAAGCATCTTCGGAAATGTCTAGCCAATTGAGTGGTAGTAAATGTTCATGTGGAATATCTTGTATTATTTTGTGATTATTTGACGCCCATTTCATTAGTGTAAAACCGGCAGAGTCTAAAGCGTCAGTTAATTCCTTTCGAGCTTTTATTGATTCATCCTCAGTGTGGCCGCCAGCTAATACATCATCAACATACAAATTATTCAAAATTATATTTGCGGCTCTAGGGTATAATTCTTTTATATCTTCTGCTAGTTTGAGAAGAGTTCTCAATGCTAAATATGGTGCGCAGTTAACTCCAAATGTAACTGTTAGCAGCTCATAATCCTCTACTGGGTTTTCAGGAGACTGTCTAAAGAGAATTCGTTGATATTTTGTTTGCTTTGAATCCAAAAGTATCTGTCGATACATCTTTGTTATATCTGCATTGAAGGCATATTTGAAGAATCTCCATTTTAAAATTTGCAATACCAAATCCTGTTGAAGAATGGGTCCAGGATATAGTAGGTCATTGAGACTTGTTTTGTTTGATGAAGGACAAGAAGCGTTAAATACGACTCTTAACTTCGTCGTGAGTCGATCGGGTTTTATCACAGCGTGATGTGGTAGATAATAATTTGGCATTTTATCTATTTCATTCGGATTGATTTTCCTCATATGACCAAGTTCTAAGTATTCAAGAATTGAGGCATCATATTGTTCTTTGATCTCAGGTGTTTTCATAAGTTTTTTCTCCATTCTGTAGAATTGAGCTAGGGCGATGTTTCGGGAATTCCCCAATTCTTCGCATTTTTTGAATGGGAGAGTCACCACATATCTTCCATCCTTGTTTCGTATTGTTGTTTCAGTGTAGTTTTGTTCGCAAAATTGGTCTTCTTCTGACCGTAAAACTTTTTTAGGGGTCTCTTCCACCTCCCAAAAACGTGTAAGTACTTTTTCTATTGAAGTTGTATTTAGAAGTGATATTTGTTTTCGTTGAAGGGTGCTTCCTGGTATGGGTCCTCCAACTATCCATCCAAATTTGGTTTTTTGTGTTAAAATTGATCCAAATGTTTTCATTGGAGTTCCAATTGTGAATATTAATGGTCCAATGTCCATTCCAATAAGTAAATCGATTGGTTGACTGACGTAAAATTTCGGGTCAGCCAGTTCTAATGCTGTTACATCTCGAAGTTGTGATTCATCTAAGTTTTGCGGTGGCAAATTTGTAGGTAAGTTCTTTAAAACTGGAGCCCAGACTTCCAGTTTAAAGCTAGGGTCGTATTTGGATCTCATAGTAAACAAGCAAGATTTCGTTGAAGTCTCAGAAACAAATTGACTTAAGCCAGTGACATGAACTAAGTTGTTCCGTGTAGGTAACTTCAAAAAGTTTTTCATCTTTTCAGAAATAAATGTGGATTGTGATCCTGAGTCTATTAGAGCTCGGGCATCGTAAAGTTGTCCTTTGGTTTCAATTTGTACTATTGCTGTAAAAAGTAGTGTTCCTCCAGATTGTCGCTCACAAATTTGCTTATCTTGGAGGGTCAAAGTAGTAATAGTAGTTGGTTCTAGGTTTGTAGTGGACTGTATTTGATTTGTAAGAGCGGCAGCACTAGTACTAGGTTGTGCTTCCACTCGAGCTAGGTATGTATTTGTTGTTTGGGTTTCCGTTCCCTTATGTAACAAAGTATTGTGTCGCATAGTACAAATCCGGCAGCCAAAGCGACTTTTGCAATCCTTTACTCCGTGATTTGATGACAAGCAATTGTAGCATATGTGTGATGTTTTCACGATGTGAATTCTGTCATTCACACTCTTTTTCAAAAATTCGCTGCAATCTCTAATGAAATGATTTGATTTGCAGACTTGACATGTTTGAGTATTTTTTGGTTTATTTTGTTGAGGTTGTGATACAGTAGTAGGTCTTCCTCCAAAATTGTTTGTATTTCTTGAGACATTTGTTTGAAATGTTTTCAAAAATCTAGGCGTTTGATTGTTAGTTGGTTTTTGTTGAGCAAATTTCGATATAGAGGGCTTTATATTTCCAACTGATTCCAAAGTTTTGAATTTGTTTGTTAAGAAAGCGTCAAACTGTTTCCATTTTGGAATCTGTTTGCAATCGCTTAATGAGTTCTCGAATTCTTCTAAAAAGCCTCTAGGTAATTTTGTTGAACAAATGTATATTAAAATCGGATCCCATCCTTTAACATCGACATCAAGCATCCCCAGTGTCTGAATGCAGCTATTTACCGTGCGTTGTAGTTTTTGAATTGTGTGACTTGATTCTGTAGAAACTCCAGGTAGATTAAAAAGTGTCTTGATTTCTTCATTAATTTGCATCCGTTTATTCTCGTAACGATCTATGAGATTTTTCCATGCTAATGTAAATCCATCATTTGTTAGTGGGACATGCGAAATAATTTCTCTAGCTTCTCCTGCGGTCTTCTGCGTTAAATGGAATAATTTTTCGACATTGCTTAATTTTGAATTGTTTATGTAAATTGCCGAAAATAGATCTCTGAAAGTTGGCCATTCTCTATAACCACCTTTAAATGTGTCGGTATCGCATGGAGGTAGCCGCGATACATTAGTAAAATCCACTTCCCTTCCTTGTTGTGATATCTCTGACTCTCTTTTCATTTTTTCCTGTGCCTTTTCATCCAAAATATTTTGAATTTGTCCATTTATTGAACTCAGCGCCTGTTTATATGATCCCATGGTATCCATATAATGTTTCCTCAGTTTATTTTTGTCGATGGTTTTTCCTCCTTCCTCTGGAACATAATCACGGCAGTCTAAATATGCCCTTTTGACCTGGTCCCATGCAGAATCCAACTCCATACGTGTTGTCTCCAAAGTATGAACCGTGTCATCCGGTTTGGTTATTGAAAAAATTGAAATATAATCCTGAAGATCGTTGACGCAGTTTGCGAATTTTTCGCTTAGGGTCTTATCCATTTTGATGCCTGAGTATTAACCTTTACCGAAATTTTGTTGTGTTGCAAAAATGAAAGGTAACCCAATGAAAAGGATTGACTTGGAATAAGATTCAAACTTTTATCCAGATTTTTATTTTTAAAAAATAAGGATAAGCTATCTTCTTCAATTTGATCAACGAAATCTATGTTCAATTATTGGTTTGGTTCGAATTATATTTCGTTTTCTTCCCAAAAGTTTCAAAATATTTGAAAAATTTCAACAATTTTCTTTGTATTTGACGCCGGTTTGATTTGATTAAAAATTGTTTGTTGGGTTGCCAAAGGGTCAATTTTTTGCCAAAAGAAGCCGAAAAAGAAAATAAAATCTCTTAAAGTCCCCTTACAGGAGGATTTTATTTTTGCAAATCGACAAATAATCCAAAAGTTTTTTTTTTTTTTTTTGTAACAAAATTGTGGAAACAAGAATTGCAAAAACAGAAATTACCAGAGATGTATTGTTACAATAAACGATTTTTTTTTTTCAAAAAACAACGAGAGTCTAGTTTGATAATCAAAGAGAAGTTGAAAATTCCAAAAAAAATTCCAGAAAATCCAAAAATATTTTCAACGACGTAAAAATGTGTGTTGGGTTGTCGAACAAAAGTTTCAAAATTTTTACTTAAAATCGCTTAATATCCTATGACAGGAGGATTTTATTTTATAAAAGCCAATAACTTTGATTATTGCTGTGAAAATTTGTCTGATTCAACAAATTTTCTAAATTCGCCAAATTTTTCGATAAAATTCGCAACGAGAGTTAGAGAAAATTATGTATGTATAAATCCAAATATTTCAGCAGAAATATTTCAAACAAATAATTTGGGTCAAAAATCCAAAAATTTGAGCAAAAATTTCCAAAAAAATTGATTTGGGTCAAGGTCCAGATATTTCAGCGGAAAATTTTATGTCCCAGCAAAATATTTCAAAAGAAAATAATTTGGGTCAAAATCCAAATATTTTCAGCATAAATTTCAAGGAATTGCAGAAAAATTCAAGAAATTGCAAAAAAAAATCCAAGGAAGAAATTTTTCCCAAAAAGTCGTGTAATGTGTCACAAAATCAAAAAAGTTTACCAGCAAAATATTTCTGCGAAAAATGCAAGAAATTAATTTTGGGTCACAGAAAAATTTTTAAGCTCCTTAGAGCAATAGATATTGTGCTAAATGGGAAAAAGGGTTAAAATTAGAATAAAAATAAAAATTGTAAATATATGGGATCGATTTTATGTCTGTCCACCAGACTCCGATATAAAATTTGTTCTCCAAAATTTCAAAAAAATTTGTAGTTTAAGTTTCAAATGTATGTCTGTCCACCAGACGCTTGCTTTTTTGCCAATAATTTTTTTTTTTTTTTTTTTTTTTTTTCAAAAATTTCAAAAAAAATTTGTAGGTTTTGTATCACATGTGTGTCTGTCCACCAGACGCTTGCTTGGTTTCCAAAATTTTCAAAAAAAATTTAGGTTATTTTTTGTCTGTCCACCAGACGCTATTTTTTTTTTTTTAAACGGTTGTTATTTACTTCTTTATGTTATCGATAGGCGCCAAATATTTCCAAAAAATATGGCGACTATATTTTGCAAGTGACGCTTTGTTTCCAAAAAATTGTATATACTTTTTGCAATATGGCGTTTATATATTTGCCAAGTTTGGTGACGCCAATTTTCCAAAGTTCAAAGCTTATGTATTTGTGTCAATATGGCGCTTATGTATTTACCTGAACTCCACGTTCAGAAAATTCCAAGATTTTTAGTATATATATAGTTATTTATGGCTGAAAATTCCCGCTATTTTTGAAAAAAATATGTGTCTGTCCGCTTTTTTCCTTCGGGTCAATAGCCAAATGTCCGTCCACAAAAATGGCTCCAAATTGGGAAATTTTCCGTCACAGTGTCTAAGTGGGCAACTAGCAGCTTTGAATATGGGTCAAAGTGTTATTGCAAATTATGGGAATATGCGGGTCAATGCAAATATTGAAGATTTGCCTGCTCCCGAAATGCCCTTTTGTGTCAAAAAAGAAATTTAAACGAGTACTCACTTTGATTTTGGGTTTTGGGTCTCGGTTGTTGTTGGTGTTGTTGTGCTGCGTGTGTCCGTCCGTCTCTCCTTGCTGCTGGTTCCACAATTTTCCTTGTTGTTGCTCTCTGTGTCACTGTATATTGTCTCTTTTGTATCACTTTCTATTGTCTTTTTGGGTAAATTAATCTTTAATGTCACTTTTTTTTATGTCACTCTTCTTTTTGTATAAAAAAATTAATGTCACTTTTCTTCTTGTATAAAAAATTAATGTCACTTCAACTTCTTCTTGTTAATTTGTTGAAAAAATTTTTTTATTTTTCTTTTTTAAAATTGAAGAAAAAATTTAATTTTTCTAAAATTTTAAAAATTTATTTATTTTCTTGTAGCACTGTGTAACTTTACTTTTTGTTGCACTGTGTAAAGTCTATTTTTTGTTAATTATTTTTTTTTTTTCAACTCTTTTTAAACTTTGCACTTATTTTTGAACCCCACTGTATTTTTTTCTATTTCACTGTTCTTTTTTCTCACTGTTCTTTTATGCGTCCACTCACAAATTGTTCTTTTTTGTTTTTAATTATTTAAAAAACTTTCACTTTTTGATCCGGCTCTGGAGGACCAAATGTTTTTAGGCTTACCTTTTTTGCCTTGAGCCTTCTTAAATTATAAGAAATATTTTTCTTTTAATTTTTAGTTCTTTTATTTGGATTTTGGGGTAGTGCAATTTTAGATATAAAATAGTTTTAAGTTTTCACTAGTTCATAAGATTTGCTTTATTTAGATAATTATATTTAGTTTGTAATTCAATAGGTTTTAAGTTTTATCTTAATTATAAGTTTTAAGTTAGCAGGTAAGTTTTAGCAATTAGTTTCACAATTATTCTTTTTGTTGTATATTGTATTTGTAGAAAGCTTTTGTTTAACATAGATAATTTTGTAATATTCTGTTTTTTCGTAATTTTGATACCTTTTGTTGTATTTCAATGTTCACTGGTTTTTGTAATATATAAATGTTGTTAGTTTTTTTTCCTTTTATTTTTGCACAGACACTTGTCACTCGGGGGGGAAACTTGCGCTCGCGACGGTAATTACATGAGAACTGATTATTGCCAAATTTGCATCGTCACATCAAACCTGTTTTGGCTGTTGACGATGCTTAGTTATTAGAATTCAGCATTGGAATTTACCGGTGGCTGCATAAATGTATGTGTGTATGTGTATGTATTTACATTATTTACATCATTTTGTTATGATGCCATTTATGCGGCCGCCGGTAAATGCCCAACCAACAGTGTTGGGCAAATTAATAGCAATATTATGAACAGCTGGATAGCTTCAATAATACCATTTCAGTATTCGGATAATGCGGATAAACAATTAATTTGGGTCCGGATAATGTGGATAATAAAATTTATGATTCGGATAAGGCGGGTAATGCACTTTTTTGCTCGGATAATGTATTTTCGAACTTTGGATAAAATGGATAATACCTGGATAGCTTCAATAATGCCCATTTCATTATTCGGATAACGCGAATAACGTGGATAATAACTTTTATGATTAAAATAATGCACTTTTTTCGCTCGGATAATGTATTTTCGAACTTCGGATAAAATGGATAATAGCTGGATAGCTTCAATAATGCCCGTTTCATTATTCGGATAACGCGAATAACGTGGATAATAACATTTATGATTAAAATAATGCACTTTTTTCGCTCGGATAATGTATTTTCGAACTTTGGATAAAATCGATAATACCTGGATAACTTCAATAATACCATTTCAGTATTCGGATAATGCGGATAAAGCGTTTATGTGGCTTGGATAATGTAAATATGTGGTTCCCATTAAGTGGATGGAGATTCGTATGGCTCCGGATAACGTGGTTTATGCATTTCTATGGTTCGGATAATAGATTTTCTTTTTTCGAATAAAGCGGATAAAACATAAATACGCTCTATCAAAAGCGGATAGAACATTTAAGTGGTGCACATGAAGCGGATAACAATTTTGTTGCAGTGCGGATAATATGGATTATGCATTTTTCGGGTGCGGATAACACGGATAAAGCATTTTTGTTGTTAGGATAAATTGGAGAATACATTTTCAGTACTTGAATAACTTGTTTAATGCATTTGGATAATGCGGATAAAGCATTTATTTTGTCTGGATAATGTGGCTAATGTTTGGATAATATGAATAAAACATTTAATAACTTGGATAAGGCGGATAATTCATTTATGAACTTTGGAAAAACAATTTTTTAAAATAAAATAGGTCGGATAATGCTTTTACCTTATTGGAATAATGCGGATAAAGCTTTTCGAACATTTGGATAGTGCGGATAAAGCATTTACGTCTTTTGGATAATGCGGATAAAGCATTTACTAACTTTAGATAATGCGGATAAAGCATTTACCAATTTTGGATAACGCGAATAAAGCATTTACCGCCTTTGGATAAGGCGGATAAAGCATTTACCACCTTTGGATAATTCGGATAAATCATTTTCCACCTTTGGATAAGGCGGATAAAGCATTTACGGCCTTTAGATAACGCGGATAAAGCATTTACGACCTTTGGATAACGCGGATAATGCATTAATCAAGTTTCCATAACGCGGATTAAGCATTTACCAAATTTGGATAATTCGGATAAACCATTTTCCACATTTGGATAAGGCGGATAAAGCATTTACGGCCTTTAGATAACGCGGATAAAACGTTTTCCACCTTTAGATAACGCGGATAAAACATTTTCTACCTTTGGATAACGCGGATAAAGCATTTACGACCATTGGACAACGTGGATAAAGCATTTTCCACCTTTGGATAGTACGGATAAACCATTTTCCACCTTTGGATAAGGCGGATAAAGCATTTACGGCCTTTAGATAACGCGGATAAAGCATTTACGACCTTTGGATAATGAGGATAATTCTTTCAATGGGATTGGATAAAGTGGATAATGCTTTGGGTCGGTCGGATAACATGGATAATGTTTTCAATTGGATCGGATAACGCGGATAATGATTTCAGCTGGTATGGATAACACCAATAAAGCCATTACTTGGAATGGATAACGAAAATATTGCTTTTAGGTGGTTCGGAAAATGTGGATAATGCTTTCTGTTGGTTTGGATAATGTGAATAATGCTCCCACTGGTTCGGATACCGTGGTTAATTCCGATACCGTGGATAAGGTTTTTGCTTGCTGCGGATAACGTGGATAATGCATTTTATGAATTTGGCGATCAGGCGAATAATGATTTTATTGGGTTCGGATAAAGTGGATAATCCATTTTGGGTGGATCGGATAATATGAATAATGTTTTTAATTGCTTCCGATAACGTGGATAATGTTTGTTAGGTGGTTCGGAAAACATGGATAATGCTTTTATTTGGTTCGGATAATGTGGATAATGCCTATATTTAGCTCGGATTATGCATTCTTTGAGTTATGAGGATCGCACGGATATTACCTTTGGTTGCTTCGGATAACGTGGATTACGTGCATTTTATGGATTTCGATAACGCGGATAATGTTTTTATTGGGTTCGGATAAAGTGGATAATGCTTTGAGATCGGTCGGGTAATATGGATAATGTTTTTAGTTGCTTCGGATAACACGGATAATGATTTCAGCTGGTTTGGATAACACGGATAATGTCATTACCTGGATCGGATAACGAAAATATTGCTTTTAGGTGGTTCGGATAATGTGGATAATGCTCCCATTGGTTCGGATAATGTTTTTAATTGGTTCATATAACGCGGATAATGATTCCAGCTGTTTTGGATAATGCTTTGGGATCGGTCGGATAACAAGGTTAATGTTTTTAGTTGGTTCGGATAACGTGGATAATGATTTTTCGGATAATGCATTTTATGAATTTGGATAAAACGGATAATGCACTTTTTGAGTTTGGATAAAGTGGATAATGCTTTTGGGTGGTTCGGAAAACATGAATAGTGTTTCTAGTTTCTTTAGTTAACGGGGATAATGATTTCAGGTGGTTTGGATAACACGGATAATGATTTTATTTTGTTTGGATAATGCGGATAATGCTGTCATTTGGTTCGGATATGGCTTTTGCTTGCTGCGGATAAAGTGGATAATGCATTTTGGGTGGTTCGGATAAGGTAAGGTAGGTGTTTTTAGTTGCTTCGGATAAAGTGGATAACCACATTTTTTTAGATTTCTTTTTCCGTCAAACCCTTTCCCTGTTGTACTGCTGTTGTTGTTTTTTGTTCTCATTACTCACACACGCTCGCATGCACACACAGACACATATTTCTCCGACCCAAGTCCAAGTGAGTGGCATGACATTCATCACATCAGACGCCTAGTTTATCTCTGCGACATTCTCGGTATGAGTCACACACAAACCAGCAACAGCAACAATAACGCAACGTGGAAAGCAACTTTTCCTTCTCAGGCCACGAACAGATGATGATGATGATGATATGACGAAACAAATGTCAATGCGTGTGCAAGTTGGACGTTCAGGCCGGAGCATTTCCATTGGACCGTGAATTGTTCGGAGGAACTTAAAAAAAAAAGAGGAAAAAATACAAATTGCGAAAACAGAAATAGCTGATGGTTGTTACAAAGTCAGTGTGTCCGACCGACCGTTTGTCTGTCTGCCTGCTTGTTTTTTGCAGAAACTTTCGGCTAAACACATTTTACAAAACAAATGCGGTCGGTGTCTGTTGTTGCTTCGTGGCCCTCAACGCAGACGAAATAATGCCAACCATTGTGTTTTTGTTTTGTTTTTGCGGCATCGAACATGAGTCGCAGACGGAGTCGAGAAATAAGGGATATCAAACCACACAACCACTCGGACGAACGAACGATCAGAGAAGAACGAAAAAACGAAACAACAACAACAGTTTCGTTGTTGTTATCACCAAAAACCACTTGGCCACCACCATCACAACCAAACGAAAGGCAACCCAGCCGACCATATGTTATGATTCGAACCTAGTGCACACATGCTGGCATTGGGTTGGTCGTTGGAAGGATGTTAGGATAGCTGGATTCCCATATGCCATTCTTTTTTTTTTTTTTTTGAAAAGGAGTTGAAGATTCTGAAAAGAAAGGGTATTGAATGAACAAAAACTGGTGGACCTTTGGCGAAATAAGATTTCGGAGGGGGCGACAAAGAAAACAAAAGTTCTGGCGCTGCAATCCTCTTGAAATATCCAAATATTGCCAACGGCAGCAAAAACAACACAAACAACAACAAAAATTTCGATTCAATTC